GGGCTCCCCTGGAGCTCTGAATCACGTCCGATGGTAGGTATCGGAGGTGCCGAGCCTCCTGCTCCTAGGGGACAATCGGAGTTGGTGTTCAGCCCTGACAGCGAACACCTTCGTATTTTAGTCAAGGTAAATGTCCTCGACGACATTGTAGGGTTCCTCCCTAACGTTCGTATAAATGACAGCGCTGTGCGCTGTGCGTCGGCTTTGAGACCGGCAGACCCTCGGTGGGCCCAACCGGGGCCGATAGATTTGTTACTGGGGGCCGACACGCTGGGTGCCCTCTTGTTAGGTGAGATACGAGCTCTGCAGCCCAATGGCCTGGCAGCCATTTCCACGATATTTGGGCACAGCTTTTTTGGACCGGTTATGTGGTCTCCTCCCTCTCCGACGGCCGACCCTCTCTCCGTCGTGGGCGTGTCCCTATCGGACGCTGTCCAGCGATTCTGGGACATTGAGGAACCACCCCATGCAGCTCGAGTCGACCCTCTGGACCGTGAGTGTGAGTTGTTCTACCAGAACAATACCGGCCGGCGGGTTGACGGTCGGTTCGTCACTCGCTTACCCTTTCTGGACTCCCGCCCCTCTTTGGGTCAATCCCGTGCTCTGGCCGAGAAGAGGTTGCTTTCCATGGAGCGCCGCATGCGGCGTGACCCAGCCTTTCGCGACAAATATGTCAAGTTCATGCGCGAGTATCAGGAGCTGGGTCACATGTCACCGTCCAACTTCGAATGGCGTTCACATGAGCACTACTTCCTCCCTCACCATGCGGTCTTGAGGACCCCTGAGAGTAAGATTCGGGTAGTCTTTGACGGTTCCGCCCCCACATCAAACGGTGTGTCCCTGAATCAGTGTCTTCACTCGGGTCCTAAACTGATCAAGGACATATCCGACATCCTGACCCAATTCCGTCGACACCAAGTGGTTTTTGTCGCGGACATTCGGATGATGTTTCGCCAATCGGTGGTACATCGTGATGACCGCCGATATCAGCTGATATTGTGGCGCGAGAAGCCCAGCGATCCCATACAGGTATTTGAGTTGAACACCACCACTTATGGACTCCGGTCCAGCCCGTATATCGCCATGCGAACCCTCCTTGAACTCGCTGAGAGAGAGCGCCTGAGATACGCTCGGGGAGCTTCTATCTTAGAGACTTCGGTCTACATGGACGACATTTGTACGGGCGCTTCCACCGTCGAGGAGGCTCTGGTCTTGCGAGACGAATTAATTGCCATCCTGAAGTCTGGAGGCTATGAGTTGCGCAAGTGGCTGTCGAACTCCCCACACATTTTGAGGGACCTCCCAGGAGAGGATCAACAAGATCCTCATCTGTTCGAGCACCCTGAGAATCCTAATTTGCTGACTGTGCTGGGCATTCAATATCAGCCTGTTCAGGACACCTTCACGTATAGAGTAAAACTTGACCCACCTCCCAAAGCATGGACCAAGCGCTCCGTGCTGTCTACAGTAGCTCGCACCTTCGACCCAAATGGATGGATCACCCCGGTCATCTTTTTGGCTAAGTGCTTTCTTCAAAAGCTCTGGATGTCGGGGTTGGGTTGGGACGAGCCTATTAGCGGGGTCCTCTTGCGAGAGTGGCTCTCCATGCTCTCTTCCCTTCCGGACATCAACCGGGTTTCCATGCCAAGGTGCTTCCTACCTCCAGGGAAATGCAGGGCTACCCTACATGGGTTTTGCGACGCCTCTGAGAAGGGCTATGCTGCTGTCGTATATTTGCGGACTGTGAGTTCCTCTGGGCATACTGCAGTTCATCTCGTACTCGCCAAAAGCAAGGTTGCTCCCATTAGATCCCGTTTAACTATCCCTAAATTGGAACTGTCCGGAGCCGCTCTTCTCACGCGGCTCCTCAACCACGTTCACTCGTCCTTGAAGCCTGTAATCGACATTACGGACGTCTACGCATGGTCGGACAGTGAGATAGTACTTTGTTGGCTCCGAGCCGCACCTCACAATCTTGAGGTCTTTGTGGCGAACCGCGTGTCTCAAATCCAGAGTTCTGAGACTTCTCTCCACTGGAGACATGTCCCCGGGGAGTTGAATCCCGCCGACTGCGCTTCCCGCGGCTGTGAGGCCCCCGCGCTGGTTGCCCACTCATTGTGGTGGGGTCCCAGTTGGTTATCTGATCCTCAATCCTTCTGGCCCCAGGGTAATTACTCCGAACCTACTGAGTTGCCGGGCCTACGGGCCCGAGTAGGAGTGGGCAAGGATAAGCCCACTCGGGATCTCTCCCTTCTGGAACGGTACAGCTCTCTCGATAAGCTCTTAGGAGTGACTGCTTGGCTGCGCCGCTTTGTCCACAATTCGAGAGATCCGTCCAACCGACTCTCTGATTGCGTTTTGTCCCCTAGCGAGCGTCGGGAAGCCCTGATGCATTGGATCCGTATGGTCCAGACGGAGCATTTTGAGCCCGTTATCGAACACTTGAAGCGTGGCTCCGTTATCAAGGGCGCTCTGGCCCGCCTGAACCTCTTTCTGGACGACGCTGGGATGCTGCGCGTGGGCGGACGTTTGAAAAACTCTCAACTGCCGTGCGGGGCTCGACACCCGTTGCTGCTCCCTAAGGACGGCGCCCTTGTCCGGTTGCTGGTAACCCACCACCATGTTAGGAATGCCCACGCTGGGTGTAACGCCCTGTCGGCTATTTTGCAGCGGGAGTTTTGGATTTTGTCTGGTCGTCGCACCATTCGGAGCGTCATCTTTAAGTGCATCCCCTGTTATAAACTGAAGGCCCCCATATCGCAGCCTCTTATGGGTGACTTGCCGCCCGACCGCGTCAGGGCCATCCGACCATTCGCTGGGGTCGGAACAGACTTCGCTGGCCCCTTCCTCGTCAAGTCCTCTAACCTTCGTAACGCGCGTTCATGTAAGGCCTATCTTTGCGTCTTCGTGTGCCTCTCCACTAAAGCCGTTCACTTGGAACTGGTGAGCGCCCTCAGCACGGAAGCCTTCTTGGCCACGCTTGGCCGTTTCGTGTCGCGGCGCGGCTTGCCGGACTTGATCCGGTCTGACTGCGGGACGAATTATAAGGGCACGGATAGGTATCTCAAGGAGGTTGTCGAATTTCTGTCCAGCCACCGGACTTATTTAGGAAATGCTATGTCGAAAAGGGGCATCCAGTGGAAATTCGACCCTCCGGCGTGTCCCCACTGGGGCGGTATTTTCGAGGCGGTGGTTAAGGTTGCCAAAACGCATCTCCGTCGCGTTATTGGTGAAGCCATTTTGACGTTTGAGGAGCTCGCCACTGTATTCTGTAAAATTGAGGCGGTACTCAACTCTCGGCCCCTCTGTCCCCTCTCCTCTGACCCGAATGATTTGGAGGTTCTAACCCCGGGACACTTCCTGATTGGCCAGCCTCTTAACGCTCTGCCCGAGTATCCCTTCAGGGAAACGAGTGCTTCACGGCTTAGCAGGTTTGCCCTGCTGCAACAGATGACTCAACGCTTTTGGCACCGATGGTCTCTGGAGTACCTACATCTTTTGCAGCAGCGCGTTAAGTGGTCTGACAAGACGGAGCCTCCTCGGGTGGGAGACCTCGTGTTGATTAAAGAACCAAACGCGCTACCTTTGTATTGGCGCCGTGGGCGCATTGTTAAATTGTCGTATGGAACGGATGGGGTGCCTAGAGTGGCCGAGGTTTTGGTCGGAGATTCGGTCTTGCAACGGGCCGTCGCGACCTTGTCCCGTTTGCCAATCTACTCGCGGACTTAATGCCTTATGTCCGGGGCGGGGGGTTGTCTAGGCAGGAAAATTTGCAATAAAAACGCAGGATTTAACGCGCGCTTTTGGCCTCGATATCAAGGGCACCTTCCCTCTCCCCCGCCCCCCCGGCCGCCGCAACGAGTCGGTGTGGCTCTTCTCGCGAGGTAGTAGGATTTTTCTTGCGAACTATACGGACGTATTTTTTCGCGCCTAAACTTGCTAAAGAAACAATCCGCGTAAATCGTTGCAATAACGGTATCGTTATTAGAACGTACTAACTCGGTGAAATTCGCGCGCAACTATCAAAGTGATTTACATCTGAAGGACTACCAGAGTAGCCGTCCCATTTGGTGACAACCCCTTACGAGTGCCTCCAGAAGGGTGAAGTTCCGGGGATACCAGCGCGTGCCTTCTCCCGGACGTCGTCGAGTCATCCAGATCGGTTCCCGTCAACATACCAGCTCACACAATTACACCTACACTCACAACACCGCATACACCAAGCACAACTTCCATCAGCCGGGCCGGTCTAGGAGAACCGTCTGCGCTCCTGAGGCAGGTAAGTGCATTTCTTCTAGTGACCTTTCCCCTCGCGTGTTCATTAGAAACCTTTGACCCTCGGCGTAGGAACGCCCGACCTGCATCTGCCCGTGGCTCCTTCGTCTATGGGCCGCGAAGGATCCAACTCCTGTTTAGGCAGGGCAGCTGTTGGCCGTAACACAGACAGACAGACAAAATTTTTAAAAAGTGTATTTTAGTTATAAGTACCGTATTTACTTTCATATGCATTTATTAAAAAACTGTAATTTTGACATTACAAACAGACACTTCAATTTTATTTATTTGTATAGATAACTATTCGAGTTTGCACGTATGCACAACTGTCGAGATCGAAGTGATAAATAGAAATGAAATAAATGTACAGACAAATTCAATGATGATAGCTTTGCCCGCCACGATAAGGCGGACTCAGGTGCGAGTGGCGCACTGCGGTGGCACATTCTCATTATTATTGACATTTATGCCCGACGACTCAGTTGATAACTCGGGCACTATAGCAGTGTTAATAGCACTGTTAATATTTTCAAATTTAATCATCAAATTATTGCCGGATGTTTAATTGATTTTACCTCTAAATAACTTAGTTCAGTGTGTTATAGTCCAAGCTGTATATCTAAGAAAATCAAGTACAGCAGTCAAAATGCAAAAATGCTACTCCACATATCCAGTGCCGCTAGTATAGAGAAAATGTAATATAAAAGATACAGGTTAAAACTCACTTGCGATACGGCCACACAATCTTGTGAAACTTCGACAGGAGCTGAACTTTGCTCTGCGTATCCACTAGCACTACTATGGTTCGACAGCCCGGCTTCATTAATCTATAATAAATAAAAAAAAAGGTATTTAAAAAATAAATATCATTAGACAGCGACTAGAGACTCTCACAGACTGCACTTGTCCGATTTACCTGTGCTGAAGAAGTTTTAAGCATATAATATACAAACAGACGCAGATCAGCAATTTTGTTTAATTAAAAAAATATTATTAAAAGCCACGATGTGGCTGTATTATGGTTGCAGTACAAATGGATTGGGAAAGGACTACGATCTTAGATATTATCAAGGTAATATAACAGCAAAATACTGCTGTGTTCCGTCTATTGAGTGCAAAGAACCGGATACTTTGATTTTGATGTATGTGTCTTGGATTAACAGTATCCAGTAACCTTCACGTGAACTGTGCACGCATTTGTTAATCTTCTATATATATGTTTCGGCTAATAGCCAAGTGCGGATACATCTAGGTGCAGCCGGCTAATACAAGGTGTAGTCGATTGCGGTTGATATATCATACATAATTTATAAATTAGATAAATGTCTGCGATTTTAACCGCACCTTAACCTAATATCGTGTAGTGGCGGTTAACAATATCCACTTCCCCATACCTTCCCGTGGGTGTCGTATGAGGCGACAGTGGGAAACTGGCTTGAGATGGACAGCAGCATCTTCCTGATAACAGCAATATTACAATTTAAAAAAAACTGCGTTTGCCAACCCGGTCGCCAAGCGTGGCAACTATGGCAGATATTCCCCATGATAAAAATTACGAAGAGACGGCCCCCAGTCCCCGGCGGCCCCGCTATTCCTGACTACGGTGGCGACAATGTCAACGGCAGGGCAGGGGTGCTAAGAATGTCCGGTGGAGGTTCGGTTGCCATCTAAAACGACTCGACCTGGCAACATACAACGCACGCACCCTGAGGTCTGACGAGAAGATCCTGGAGCTGGAAGAAGTGATAGACAAGTTACGCTGGCATATAATAGGATTATCGACGGTCCGAAGAAAGGGGGAGGACACGGTAATCCTCGAATCCGGCAACTTGTTCTATCACCGGGAGGGCGACTATCTGTCCCAATGAGGTGTCGGATTTATCGTCCACAAGTCTCTCGTTAACAACGTTGTAAAGATTGTGAGTTTGTCGACGAGGATTGCATACCTTATACTCAGAATTACCAAACGGTATTCGTTGAAAGTCATACAGGTTTACGCACCAACCTCGGCACACCCCGATAAGGAGGTGGAGGAAATGTATGAGGATATCTCTAGAGCCATGCATTCCTCCAAAACCCACTGTTAATGGGAGACTTCAACGCAAAACTAGGCACAAGAGAGAACGGTGAGTTGAAAGTATGGAAATTCGGAATAGATGAACGGAACCCAAGGGGCCAGCAGCTGGCCAACTTCATGGAGTAAGAGGGACTCTTAATGATGAACTCTTTCTTCCAGAAGCGGCCACACAGGAAGTTGACCTGGTCGAGCCCCGACGGTTTGACAAAAAATGAGATTGACTTCATTATGACGTCTCAGTGATCGCGAGGGTGAAAAGCGGCAGCGATCACCGAATGGTGAGTGGCACACTGAACCTAAACGTTAAGTTGGAGAGGTCACGTCTAATGAAATCAACGCTCCGTCCCCCTCGTGCTCTAATCCAAAGACCCGAAACCTTTCAGCTCGAGCTACGAAACCGTTTTCAGTGCCTAGAAGATTGCAATGCAGTGGACGATATGAATGACAAGCTCGTGGAAACTGTCCATGCGGTCGGAGATAAGTTTTGCAAGACCCGTTGCAGAAGAACACAAAAACTCTCCGATCACACTCTTCATCTCATGGCTGTTAGACGGGATATGAAGCTGCAGTCTTCAGTAGATTTGACAGCATACAGGCAACTGAACAGACAGATCTCCAAATGCATGTGGCGGGAGTTACGCAACTTCAATACAGCTTGTATTGAAGAAGCGATGGAGCGGAACCAAGGCTCCAAAGTCTTTGCCAGAGATCTGTCTGCCAGAAAGAGCCAACTTTCGAAGCTGAAGACCGAGTGTGGCAGCATCGTTTTCGGGACACCTGAGATTTTGAGTGAGATTGAGAGGTTCTATGGGCAGCTGTACACATCATCGTTGGAGCCACACGCAAATGTAAGTAACGATCCAAGAGCGAGTCTTATCCGACACTATTCCGAAGATATCCCGGACGTTAGTCTGAGCGAGATTAGAATGGCTCTCCAACACCTTAAAAACGGCAAGTCTCCAGGTTAGGATGGAATTACAGCGAAGTTTCTGAAAGCGGGAGGAAAACCGGTACTTGAAATCCTTCAGAAGCTCTTTAATTCCGTCCTACATGGTGGCACTACTCCGAAGGCGTGGAGCAGAAGTGCGGTGGTATTGTACTTACAGAAAGGCGGCAATGCTCTCTTGAAGAACTACAGATGGATTTCCCTTCTGAGCTGCGTCTACATGCTGTTTTTGAGTCATTACGAATCGTCTCGCACGCAGACTTGATGACTTTCAGCCTCTCGAACAAGCCGGTTTCCGAATAGGCTTTAGTACCATAGACCACAATTTGCCGAAGGGTATGTAACCCTTCGGCAAATTGTACAGAAGATTGAAGAGTACAATTACCATTTTGCCCAACGTATGTGAACTATGCGAAAGCCTTTGATTCCGTCGAAATGTGGGCGGTACTACAGTCCCTTCAGCGGTGCCACGTTGACTGCCGATATATCGAAGTCCTTGTACAGTAAGGCTACAATGGCTATCCGATTACAGAATCAGAGTACAAAACCTATCTAACTGCAGAGAGGTGTAAGACAGGGTGACGTAATATCCCCGAAACTCTTCACCGCTGCATTGGAAGACGTTTTCAAGTTACTGGACTAGAAAGGATACGGTATTAACACCAATGGCGAGTACATCACTCACCTTCGATTTGCCGACGATATAGTCCATATGGCAGAATCGCTGGAGGACCTAAGCACTATGCTCAATGACCTTCATAGTGTCTCCCAACAGATAGGTCTTAAAGCTGAACATAGACAAAACAAAGATCATGTTTGATGTCCATGTCACACCTATGCCGGTAGTTGTTGGGAGCTCTAAGCTCGAAGTTGTTGACGAGTATGTTTACCTGGAACAAATAGTCCGACTAGGTAAGTCCAACTTCGACCGAGAGGTCAATCGACGGAATCAACTTGGCTGGGCAGCGTTCGGGAAATTATGACACACATTCTCGTCAGGTATACCTCAAAACCTGAAAGCGAGATAGAACAACCAGTGCCTGTTGCCAGTGACGACTTATGGAACTGAGACGTGGTCCTTCACTGCTGATCGTATGAGGATGCTCAATGTCGCTCAGCGAGCTATGGAGAGGGCTATGCTCGGGGTTTCTCTGCGTGATAAACTTAGAAATGAGGATATCTGCTGTGGAACCAGAGTAACCGATATAGCCCAATGGATTAGTAAGTTGAAGTTGCAATGGGTCGGCCATACAGCTCGAAAAACCGACAATTAATAAGAAAAATAGGCTCGAGTGGCAGCCTCGTACCTACCGGTAAGCGAAGTGTAGGGCGTCCCCGCACTAGATGGAGTGATGACCTGGTAAGACATGCAGGAAGTCGATGGATGCAGGTGGCTCAGGACCGTGCTTTGTGGCATTCCTTGGGGGAGGCCTATGTTCGGCAGTGGACTTGTGAAGGGCAAGTAATAATGATGATGCTGATGAACCTACTGTCGCTGATATTACTTGATACGTTTTTCCGTATTTTTACAAATTTAACAGTACACCTAAATTTAACCAACTACTGCTGGCCGCACCTAGTTCTAGCCGGCTAGAACTAGGTGTAACCGCACTTCCGCTTTTAGCCGTAACATATATAAATATATGGAGATGATAAGTATGAAACAGCGACCGTACCTCACAAGTCCGTTATACTTCTCCGCACGTAGCTCGTGCAACCTCAACTCCGGTTGTGGCTCATTATTGTTCTTTTTGTTACCACCGTTCTGACGTCGCCGCTCTTCTTTCTGCCTCTGTACAGATTCTTCTTCTATGCGTCTGAAACAAAATGTAAGAGTGAGAGGCTATGTTAGCTTCTTCTTTTCACCAACCCGTCAGTCCACTGCTGGACTAGGGTCTGTAATGCTGTAGGGAGGATTTGCCTTAATTGTCACGATCGGCACGAGGGTTGATGATCCCAGTACCAGACATCTTGCACCTTTGACGAGATGGCTTCCGTCATCATGAAAGACTTTTCTGAGTACTGTCGCATCTTACGACACTATGAAAAAAAACATACCAAAGCGCCACTTTACCTATAAGTGAATATTTTCTGTGGTCTCGGGTCAAAATATTTTGAAGCTTTCCTAATGGTATATATGCAATGTCGCGTAATACGTGTGATGACGTGTGGTACGGGCTCACGCAGCATCGCGTAAAACAGTGCAGTTTGGTACGGATCCATGTAGCATCGCGTAATATGTTGCAGTGTGCTGTAGCGGGATGCAGTGTGGTACGGGTTCACGCAGCGTCGCGTAATACAGTGCAGTGTGGTACGGATCGTATATGATACGTGATGTAATGCGGTGCAGTGTCATGCGGTACGGTGTAGTATGGTTCAGTCTTAAGTCGTGTCGTACGGTGTAGTGTCGTACGGTTTAGTGTAGTGCGGTGTTGTGTGGTGTAGTGTAGTGCTATGCGGTGCGGTGCGGTGCAGTGTGATGTCGTACCGTGCGTTGCGGTGTGGTATCGTATAATACGGTGTAGTACAGTTTAATGCGGTGTAGTGCAGTGCAGTGCTATGCGGTGCACCGTAGTATCGTGAGGTACGGTGTGCGGTACAGTGTAGTGTCGTGTAGTGCTGTGTAGAGTGGTGCAGTGCAGTATAGTGTAGTGTAGCATGGTGTGGTGCTGTGTAGTGCAAAGTAGTGTCGTGCGGTGCAGCGTGGTGTCCTGTAGGGTGGTGTGGTGTAGCGCGGTGCAGCGACTCACACGAGGTACGCCATGAGGTAGCCGGCGGCGAGCACGAGCGCGGCGGTGGCGAGCACGGAGAGCGCGGAGAGCGCGTGGCGCGTGCGCAGCGCGAGCGCGGCGCGCTCCGCCCACTCGCACAGCCGCGCCGCGCGTGTGTGGTGCGGTGTAGTGTGTAGTGGGGTGCGGTGCAGTGTAGCGCGGTGCAGCGACTCACACGAGGTACGCCATGAGGTAGCCGGCGGCGAGCACGAGCGCGGCGGTGGCGAGCACGGAGAGCGCGGAGAGCGCGTGGCGCGTGCGCAGCGCGAGCGCGGCGCGCTCCGCCCACTCGCACAGCCGCGCCGCGCGTGTGTGGTGCGGTGTAGTGTGTAGTGGGGTGCGGTGCAGTGTAGCGCGGTGCAGCGACTCACACGAGGTACGCCATGAGGTAGCCGGCGGCGAGCACGAGCGCGGCGGTGGCGAGCACGGAGAGCGCGGAGAGCGCGTGGCGCGTGCGCAGCGCGAGCGCGGCGCGCTCCGCCCACTCGCACAGCCGCGCCGCGCGTGTGTGGTGCGGTGTAGTGTGTAGTGTGGTGCGGTGTAGTGTGTAGTGGGGTGCGGTGCAGTGTAGCGCGGTGCAGCGACTCACACGAGGTACGCCATGAGGTAGCCGGCGGCGAGCACGAGCGCGGCGGTGGCGAGCACGGAGAGCGCGGAGAGCGCGTGGCGCGTGCGCAGCGCGAGCGCGGCGCGCTCCGCCCACTCGCACAGCCGCGCCGCGCGTGTGTGGTGCGGTGTAGTGTGTAGTGGGGTGCGGTGCAGTGTAGCGCGGTGCAGCGACTCACACGAGGTACGCCATGAGGTAGCCGGCGGCGAGCACGAGCGCGGCGGTGGCGAGCACGGAGAGCGCGGAGAGCGCGTGGCGCGTGCGCAGCGCGAGCGCGGCGCGCTCCGCCCACTCGCACAGCCGCGCCGCGCGTGTGTGGTGCGGTGTAGTGTGTAGTGGGGTGCGGTGCAGTGTAGCGCGGTGCAGCGACTCACACGAGGTACGCCATGAGGTAGCCGGCGGCGAGCACGAGCGCGGCGGTGGCGAGCACGGAGAGCGCGGAGAGCGCGTGGCGCGTGCGCAGCGCGAGCGCGGCGCGCTCCGCCCACTCGCACAGCCGCGCCGCGCGTGTGTGGTGCGGTGTAGTGTGTAGTGTGGTGCGGTGTAGTGTGTAGTGGGGTGCGGTGCAGTGTAGCGCGGTGCAGCGACTCACACGAGGTACGCCATGAGGTAGCCGGCGGCGAGCACGAGCGCGGCGGTGGCGAGCACGGAGAGCGCGGAGAGCGCGTGGCGCGTGCGCAGCGCGAGCGCGGCGCGCTCCGCCCACTCGCACAGCCGCGCCGCGCGTGTGTGGTGCGGTGTAGTGTGTAGTGGGGTGCGGTGCAGTGTAGCGCGGTGCAGCGACTCACACGAGGTACGCCATGAGGTAGCCGGCGGCGAGCACGAGCGCGGCGGTGGCGAGCACGGAGAGCGCGGAGAGCGCGTGGCGCGTGCGCAGCGCGAGCGCGGCGCGCTCCGCCCACTCGCACAGCCGCGCCGCGCGTGTGTGGTGCGGTGTAGTGTGTAGTGGGGTGCGGTGCAGTGTAGCGCGGTGCAGCGACTCACACGAGGTACGCCATGAGGTAGCCGGCGGCGAGCACGAGCGCGGCGGTGGCGAGCACGGAGAGCGCGGAGAGCGCGTGGCGCGTGCGCAGCGCGAGCGCGGCGCGCTCCGCCCACTCGCACAGCCGCGCCGCGCGTGTGTGGTGCGGTGTAGTGTGTAGTGGGGTGCGGTGCAGTGTAGCGCGGTGCAGCGACTCACACGAGGTACGCCATGAGGTAGCCGGCGGCGAGCACGAGCGCGGCGGTGGCGAGCACGGAGAGCGCGGAGAGCGCGTGGCGCGTGCGCAGCGCGAGCGCGGCGCGCTCCGCCCACTCGCACAGCCGCGCCGCGCGTGTGTGGTGCGGTGTAGTGTGTAGTGGGGTGCGGTGCAGTGTAGCGCGGTGCAGCGACTCACACGAGGTACGCCATGAGGTAGCCGGCGGCGAGCACGAGCGCGGCGGTGGCGAGCACGGAGAGCGCGGAGAGCGCGTGGCGCGTGCGCAGCGCGAGCGCGGCGCGCTCCGCCCACTCGCACAGCCGCGCCAGCGCGCGCCACGCCGCGCCGCGCGCCGCCTCGTCTGCCAGCTCCTGCCACACACACCACAACCTTTATATATTATTTTACCGTTACGCCCATTAAGTCAAATTCCGAACATAAGCTTCATCCTTAGATTGCCTCATAGGGGGTTTGCCATAGTTGCCTCGCTTGGCAAGCGGGTTGGCAACAGCAGTTTTTTATTTTTATTCGTTATTAGGTGTCTTCCTAATGCTGCCCATCTCCTGATTGATTTCCCTCTGCCGCCTCTTACGACACGCACGGGGTGATATAATACCGGGTGTTTGTGAAACGCTCTCGCAAACGAAGACAGGCGATTACTAATTATACCTTTAATGATGGGTGAGAAATAAAATCGATACGGAGGTAAAAAAAAACATCTTTTCACAACGTTTTATTAGCTTTATTTACGCTCCGTCATGTTAGTACCGCTAAATGAAACGATAATTCCATAAAAAAAATCATGAAAATACTTAAACATAAAACCATCAGTGGAATTACAATCAGATGACTAGGTTAATGCACGCCCGGACACCTAATTCGCGCGGCCCGCAACTAGCGATGGTACCACAAAACCTAATAATTTACAATACTTGTCTACTTAACCTACTATTTGGCCACTGTGCTTGTCTCCACTTACCACTTTATTCACAGGTTAAATAAACTAAATACCTGATTCCATTCCCCGGTAATAAAAAAATACTTAAATGAAATGTTAACAAGGTTAGAGTCATGCTTTTTGTGTATGTATATGTTTATTATTCTTATGTATTCAGTTATGTACCTATTCAGATGAGTTCAGTACTAAGTTATTTAAAAAAAATTGGTATGAAACAGCTTACCGATCTAATCGTAAGTAAGTGAGAGATTCTGCAAGGCACATTAACATGTTGCCGTATTCACGGGCACTATAAACGTACCTACGCATTAGGCATTATTAAAACAAAACAAGAATGTAATAAATAAAACGATTGAGTTATGGTTGTCATTTTTAATACAATTACACAATCAATTGTACCCTGACGGAACAAGCAGTTCTTTACTACAAAAATTATATTAAAATTAATAAACGTACCTAATTGGGTATTCAGTACTCACTTACACAATTATAAACACTATTTCATCGTTATCTTTGATTTTGTATAAGAAAATAGAAATGAAATGGTACTGAATAAATTAATAGTTAAAATCAATTGCAATTATGATCGACAGTTAATTAATATATCAGAATTATTGTAAAAAATAATACTTTTCCTTTATTTTAATTGACTTTCCGTATTTAATCCAACCAATACTTTGAATTTAAAAAGAGGTACGTCAAAATTATTAAAAATTACTTGCAAGCTTTATAGTGATTGCCGCCTCTAATTCTTATGTCGCCGGCAAACTAAATTTTGGTGCAACATGGCAGCGTTGCCAACACCAATTTGTGAAATTCCCCGAAAATTCATGTCAAATCCCCCAATTTAAGGACAAAAACTTCAACAGATTCCCCACAAATTCCCCTCAATTTTATTTTAAGAAATGAGTCAATTTTCAAGTAATTTTATAAGATTTACTTTTTAACAAACATTTTTTTCTTTAAAATTAAAAAATAAAGAAATGAAAAACATTAAATGATACACAAGTTACCGAAATAAATCCGAAAATGAAATGTGGCGCAATGAAGTTAATTAAAAAAAGGGAGTCATTCGATATTCATAAATAACCTAACAAAATGTTAAGTATTTACATTTCTGGAAAAAAGGTTCTGACTTGGCCCTGGCTATCGATTTTCAAAATGCCCATATTTTCCCTGCATAATACCTGTTACGGCCCGCAGCAGCCCCTGCAAAGGTCACCCAGGCTGGGGCCCATAGCAGCCTGCTCGACGGGCAGACGCGGGTCGGGCCCAAATGGCCATATGGAAGAATGTCCTATAACATTAAACTGAAGGGAGAAGGCTAGAAAAATATAGTACGTACCTGTATCCGAAGCTAAGATCGCCCCAAGGCTCGGTCAGGCTGTAGGTGGGTGTAAGGTGCATGGAAAGTAGTGTTTAGTGAGGTGTATGTGTCTGAGACCTGGACCAGCTGATGTGACCGGTAGCGGCCGATTTCCAGGCTGCCCCACAATGCTGCATCACTCCAGCAGTCTTCCCCGCTGGACCATTTCTTTCTTCATGTCACTATTTCAGTCTATTAACTTCATTGTACATTTAACTAACTTAAACTCGCCTAATTCCACATTCATCGTAGAATCGAACACGTGATACCTGACACAGTAACGGACAGTAGTTCATGGTTCAACACTCAATGTCCCGGATTCACTTATCGTCAAATTATAAATCGGGAACTAACGCGATCTCTTCATGAGTCACGCGGTTCAGCGTTAAACACAACTAAGTTCCTTCGTTCGACATCAAACACCACGCCGCGATAAGAATTCAAAATACGCCTCGCCAACACACAAAAAGGGCACTAAACGCGACGGCACAATTACAATGATTTCCAGGCAATCAACCGGGAGACGCTCTCAAACAAGGATTGCGCGGTTCGAATCCTAGACCGTATCTCTAATCGGCGCGCGCGTGCGAAATTCCGCGTTACCCGAGCAAGTTAAATGTTGCAAAATTCACTTCAAATGCAATCACTATATTATTTGCACAATTACTTTCAAGGAAGTTACTTTAATCAGTCGAACACAATACAAGCCTCTTGTCAAGAACTTAAACCCTAGACAACCTAATCCGAGGCGGTATTTACGAAACAAAATTCCGTAGCGAAGTAACACGCACTAAATCTAACCACCTGGACCCGACACCGGTCGCGTGAACTTCGGCAGCGATAACCGAGATACGGCGATTCACCGCATCGCGGCCAGCGAGCTACTACGAACTAGCCCACGAGCGTCACACGCTGGGAAGCTGCCTACCGATGCCCGCTCCCCGCGATGCGCGTGACACCCGGTACCATCCGTCGATTCACGAAGTCGAACGTGATTGGATGTCGTACAAATTACCTTTTTTGGGCCTAAACAATATCAATCCCCATAAAATCCCCATCCATCTTTAAATTTCGCGCAATTTTGGGAATTCCCCACATGTTGGCAAGACTGACATGTGTAAATTCCATAGCGCGAGGCGAAACGAGCCGGCCGGGCGGCGGTAGCGCGTGTGTGAAATGGAAGGGTAGAGTGAGTAGGCATTGTTTCGGCACCGAGCTAGATACATAAGAGTTCGGCGTCGCCGAGAATATTGACCTTATTGTCAGCTGACTTTTTTTATAGGATAGAGTGACAAACGAGCATACAGTCCACCTGATGATGGTAAGTGGATGCTGCGGCCCCTAGACATCTACATCTATCCTCGTTTGCGAATCAAACGCAGATGCGTTGTCACCCGTGAGGACTAAGATGTAATGCCCCTTTTCCAGTAAAAAGGGTCTTCGGTTCTCTACACTCACCATACGAAACACAGTGGTAAGCTGCTATTTTACGCTGGTACTCTGTGAGAGCGTGGTCCTACCCCGGTCGAGCCGACCCATTCGTGCTACAACTATACTACTAATATAGCTGCAGCATGGCTCTAACACGTAATAAATTTAAAATAAATAATTTATGATTTATTTATTTTAAATTTCACTGCTGGTTTTAAGTATTTTAATGATTTTTTAAATGAAATTATCGTTTTATTTAGCTGTACCAACATGATGGGACGTGAATAAAGCTAATAAAACATTTAAAAAAAACGTTACGAAAAAATGTTTTTTTTTCTCAGGATCGATTTTATTTCTCACCCATCATCAAAGGTATAGTTAGTACTATCGTCTGTCTTCGTTTTCGGGAGCGTTTCACAAACACGTGGTATATAATCTCAACTCAAAAGGCGGTGATGGCGGTGCAAAAGACTACCTTAATATCTGTGCATGACTACAGGGACTGCTTTCAGCACATTTGCTCCCTACTTATCTAAGTTGTTCTTGTTTAGATTACACTATACTAAAAACTAAGTTACCATCTATATAACCCTTGTCACCAATCCTATAGAAACCAATCAGTGCCGCCGTTCTTAAATTAAGCCTTAATTTACCTAAACCTAAGTGTTATATACTACATTCCTAAAACTAATATAAAAAACCTTGAGCATGCAATACAAAACGTTGACTTTAGCCCAGTTTGTAAAACCGATGACGTAAACATTTTTTTGCCTTACTTAATAAATAACGCACGAAATGCCATCGTTAGCAATACTTCGTATAGCACGGCGGCTAAAAAATATAATGACAAAGTCTTGGACTATAGAGATTGCTTTGCGTAAATTTTTTACGCCAGCAAGAACCGAACACCAGTTTGCTACGTCTTTGGTAATGCGTCCAGCAAAGGAGTGGAATAATCTGATCTGTCTTACCATCGTTTATAATGTAGATGTTTTTAAGGCAAAAGTAAATAGGCTTATGTAAGTAACTTCGGCTACATGACCACTAAGAAAGTAGTCAAAAACTGACTTACAATAGTAAAAAAGAATTGCATTTAACAATGATTATATTTGCAATTTGGATGGATAAAACGAAGATTCCTTGTGTACTCATTAAATTACGACAAGTACTTAGCTTTTTAGTCATCACAACACAAGTTAATAAAAACTGGCATTACCTGTACATGAGTTTCATATGCCATCATTTCGGTTGGCTTCAGAAGCCGCTTTATCAACTGTTCAAGTGCTCTCTTGGTTTCGTTCAACCGCTGCTGGTACTGGATGGTCTCCTCTGTAAACTCCTCGTCACATTTCGCACAGGTCGGCCATGTCTCGTTTAACCACTCATACTGTATACGCGTTGGCTCACGCCGCCAAATTACAACTATACGGTGGTCCATCTTCGAAATGTCGGTACCTGTAACAACACTACTTGGTGAGTTTTAAGCAAATATTTCATTCCTTACAGCCCACCACAAGCAGGCCTGTCTCACTCCGCGCTTCACGCATGAAGATATAACTAATTAGTTAGCGTTCGAACTGACGCGCGCCTTACGATAACAAAAAAGTATTTTTCTCTTATAAGTATTTAGGCACTTAGACATTTAATTTTGAGTGTTTATTCAAGTACTTGCATAGTATACGGGTGCTTAAACAAAAAGAGGAATGTAGACTTTTCATTAATTACCGTTCTTAAGGGTATCGAAAGGTAAGCTATTATTATTTATAGGTAGATCTAGATAATTAGGTACTTAGTAACTGACGCCATAGTTACAGATTTCCTATAATGTTATAAGTCTTATAACCTACGATTTTGGGCATGTACTATTTTTTCATGTACAATTATTATATACTCAAGCAATCTAAAACTGTTATCAATTTTGATTAAAAATAACGTAACATCATCATCATCATCAGCCCAAATATTGATCCCATGCGCCCCTTATACGGTGGGGGTTTGAGCAGTAGTCCGTTGGTGGACGGAGTACTAGATAATCAATACTTCGCCTTTTACGACACAGGCAGAGACGGGGTGATGCTATCTACTCTACCGGCATCACATAGCACGTAATTGTAAAAAAGTATAAGAAGGTAGTAGTAGTAGTAGGTAATACCTATAACCTACCTTACAATGAACAATAATGTTCTTATTATCAGCAAATTACTAATACATTGCATAACACCTCGGTGTATTCTACTACCAACTAATATCAAAGGATACAATTTGATTTCTCACAACACCTAACCCTACAGTAGTAGTAGCTTTAACAAAGGTGCGTAACGGGCTAAGTGAAACAGACTCTCGCACACGGACGTGAGGTGCATTTTGATTTAGTACGCGCGCTGCAATAATCGGTAGGCTCTTTTAACGATAGTCGCATCCAAGGCGTGCAAAGTATTATGAACATTAGAAACGTTACTACGTTTAAACTAGCAAGTTTGCTATCAGTGTGATTCTTCTATACTTGTGCCACAAGTGCTGAACATAGTTTTATCCCAGAGATGGGCACAAAGTATCTTTAACCTTTTAGTTACATTCTCAATAGCCTATCAAAAGTTCATAAGCCTCCCCAACAGATTTCCACATTGGGAGGAAGTATTTGCCATAATTGCTTGGCAGGTGGATTGGCAACCACAGATTTTAATTTTTTTAGTTTTTATTGGGAAGACGCTGCTTCCTATACCCTGGATTGTTTTCCTCTGTTGCCACTTACGACACCCACAGGACGATATGAGGTAGTGGATATTTTACACCGCCACTACACGGTGAAGTGCTACATTATGAACAAAGTGGTTTTGGCTTATTTTTTATCTGTCGATGCTATCAACTTGTACCGATAAGGAAAGTGTAGGATTGCCTCCCACCAAATGGAGTGACGATGCATGAGGTGGTTCAGGACTTTGCTTTGTGGCATTTTTTTTAAAAAGGCCTATGTCCAGCAGTGTACTGGTCAAATACATATTTGGCGATTATTTATAAACTCGGGTTCGTGTAAAAATACTAAATCGAATGTGATGAAAACTTAATTAATATGTAATAATGTGTCCTAGGATTCTCTTTGGAGAAAGTGGTGTGTGCGCGGATACATGTATACATGCATAAAGCAGCTGCATATTCATGTGCACGTGTACATATGGTGCAGACTCCCTGGAACAGTTGTCAAGTGTGCTGTCGGGGTCGTGCTGTACGGTTTTTTTTATAACTGGCTTTACGGCTCTGGGTTCAAGCCCTTCTAAGCCTGAAGTTACAATGTATAATTATCCTTCATAGTACACTGCTTCACAATATGTTGATGCGTCACATTGTGCAGCCCTTGGGAGATTATGACGGCAACTTGAGCCAGCAGACAGCTGACAGTTGGCAATGGTATCTCAAGGCGCCTAAGGAGACACCTTATCTTGAGATTCACATCTCCATCGAAGCACTTGTTTCACCGTTTCCACTAGCAGTTCACATGCGCAGATACTTAATACACAAAATCGCACACTAGCGAGTACATGTGCTCTAGCGAGTGCATGTGCACAGAGCAGGATCGCAGTATAGAGTTCACTGAAGTCGTTGATAAGCGTGCGTACTGAGTCGGGGTGCAAGGTGGCGGTGTATAGCTCACTGGAGGTGGTGCAGAGCCCGCGCGCACATAAGCATGCGTGAACGGAGTGGGTCGCGATGCAGAGGTCGCGCGCGCACAGTGCAGGCGCGGCGCAGAGTGCACGTGCACAGACTCACCCGAGCCCGCGGCCAGCGCGCGCACGAAGTCGGGCTGCGCGTGCGCGCGCACGTAGGCGTAGCGCAGGCGGTCGGGCGCGGCGCGCGCCAGGCGGCGCAGCTCGCGCAGCGCGGCGCCGCGCGCGCCCAGCGCCACGCAGCACAGCCGCCGCCGCGCCGCGCGCCACTCCACCGGGCACGCCGCCTCCAGCACGCTCTGCCACAACCACACCTCATAATCTTAAACCGCGTATCCGTTATGCGCTCCAAGAGATCGAACATTGGCACGCGTTCCAGCCGTGCGAAATGTATAGCCGCCTTAGAACGCGCGCCAAATTGTTCGTTGGAACACTCAAACGTGGAGTGGGCCGTTCCATCTTGTATGGGGTTTTTATCGCGTATCAAAGTAGTTAAGTTTTTGCGCGCACGCCAGTTGGGACGGTTGTTTTCATCATTCGTGTGTTCGTTGCGTTCCGAGCTATAAATAAACGGAGTTGCCGTAAATTGATAAAATTATATGGTTCAAAATAACTGCTGTGGAATAGCAAAAGTCGTTTTTATCATATCATAATAAAGCGCTCAGAAAAGATACAAGGGACTATGAAAGCGGCAGCTGTTCGTACACAATCGACATCTTTGTTGAAGTGCGCGCTTAGTTGATACACTTCGAAGATTTAGAATGCATTTCACGGAACGCACTAGTCGGCGCGGCCATTCATGGTGCGCGCGTCAGGAGCGCGTAATCCATACGCGGCTTTACGGTCCATTCACACCGAAGTAGCAGCGTCTAACTTGTCGGCTCGCAGCGACGCGGGCGGCCGCGCGCCCAACTCGAGTATCAAGCGATACTATTCATTTCGTAATTAAAATAAAGCTTAAAATGGTTAAACAATGAAATTGCCTGCCACTGCACTGCACACACAAGTGGCAGCGAACTGCACAAGTGCACTTCGCTGCCACTTCAGTATTCATTAACCTTTACGGTTACCACATATAGCTAGGGGGCACTGAGCAAGACTTCTATGTATACTACTACACGGCCACTACGGTATGGTATGGTATTAGTGACCATCGCCTCATTGTCTTCAAAATTAGGAGGGAATGCCATGCAGAGCTCTAGGTGGGAGAGCCAGCCCGCTTCCGGGACCGGGGCTTAACTGGAGCTATTTCCGCGGAACTATTCACGAAAGAATGGGTGTTTTGAAAACTCAACAGCCGTATGACTGACTCTGCGCACAGTTCACGGAGATCATCTTATCTCGATCTGCGGAGGACGTTCTAGAGAGTGCGCGCTCGAGGTTAAAAATAGTGGATACCAGAATTCAATAGAAAGAGTAATGCAAGGGCATAGCAGAAGACTAGAAAAAAGGGAGGGAGATCAGAAAAGAATATTTCTATTTATGAATGGAGAACACGGAGCTGGACAACTTTTGGAAGATAACTGAGACAAGCAATGCTGAACCATGGGGGCGTACTTATCAAGTGACAAGTGCGTGGTACCGACTTCCCAGTAATATTGTTTATGTTGTAAAAAATGTGGCAGGGCACTCGGGGGGAGCGAGAGGCCATGCGAGACCTGCTGGGGCTTGGAAAAAATCCAGAAGACGACATGTCTAAAATAAGAAATACCGCGAGCAGGTGCGCCTTATGGCCGTTCTCTACCCCATTAGGGCTGGCTACTACTCCCCCAACCATTGTGTGTCTGAAAGGCTTAGGCGCTGCCCAACACTGCTTCGAGATTGGACGGGATTAACGCAAAAGTAGTAAAGGACGTGTGGAGAACTGCGCCCAAGGAATACCACTGGGTGTAAGTCTATGCGTGAAATAGGGAATCTTCCCCCAAGTATGGAAGAATAGACAGCTGATAGTGAATCTAAAAGGGATCCGTGAATGATGTCATTCACTATCTCCCGATAACGCTCTATCCCATTTACGGCAAAATATTGGAGCGTTTGTTGCTACGGTGTGCCCCAAGTTTGGTAAGGGGTATATCGGATTAATAGCACGGGTCACCAGGTCTATCTACAGTCACGGCGGTGCAAGACGTGCTTAGTTCATCGCGCGAGTCGCAGCGCAAGTATGTACAAGTCATTTTCTTCGACATGTAGGAGGCATTTGATAATACAAATGTGGCCGATGATAATATTGGAGGCCAAACAAAGGGAGATTTCACCTAACATCTACCGAATGTTGGTAGATTATTTCACCAACAGACGACGGCAATTTTCGTAGGCGATAGTGTGGAATGGAAACACCCAACCATGGGCTGCCCGCAAGAATCGGTCCTTAAATCGATCACGTAGAATCCACTGCTGCATGGTCTGTTGAGGTTGCCATTCCCCCTCATTGCGGGGGATATACGCATACTTATACGGATGACGTAACGCTTTTGGTCGAGGCGAACTCTAAGAGCTAAAATAGAGAAAGCGGTCAAATCTGCACTAGAGTTGGTATCATCGTGAGGGGAGGGGGAAGGAATCGTTTATCCTTTTAACCCGCGAAATCATTATACGATGACAATCATGCAATCACCTGTTATCAGGACGGGGACTGAGTTTATAGTTAACGTAACATACGTTGACTATAAACTCACCCAATAATAACTTAGGCAGCGGCCGTTTGGGTTGATCGAGTAGGGAACTGCGCAGTGCATACGTCATTACTGAGATCGCAGAGATCCTCACTCGTGATGTTGACAAAGAGCTATAAGACGATAAGCACTGCGACACTTCCGGTATTAGCCGACGTCCTTAAGGCTGATCTGTAGGTAGGTGACACGTGGTGGTCAAGTGTGTAAAAACGCGTATAATGGCGAGTTGAGCAGGCGTCAGTGCGAAATTCGGGGCTGACGTTATGAATGAGACGGATGGCAGGTAACCATTCCGTTTCTTCACAGACGTGGAGGTTTGACTTAATGCAAATTGGTCGTGCCGGACTACTAAGTCTCACGCACACAAACAAGTATGTGTGAACGCGGTGCGGCCTACGAGGATAGGCACCATATGCTGTGGTTGTGCGTTCTGTATGATGGCTTGTGGTGTAAGATGATGGGTGTAATGGTACGCGAAATCGTGAGCACAGTTTATTACCCTGGCCTTGTTGACGGTAATGAGAACTTTTGCCGGCTGTGGGAGTGCATGAGCGGAGGACTGTCATGGAGACGGCAAATGAAAGAAGAGATCTGCTGCATCCTTTGTTCAGCAGTTGACTTTCATCATCATTAGTCCGTGGTTAGCTCATCAACTCGCCCGCCCAGTGAGGTGGTGTGGTGAGTATGGGAAAACTTTTCAGGAAGTGTGTCAAGACTGGCTAAGAAAGAAGACATAAAAACGCACAAAGTCTCGTCTCTTTCAATACAGTGCTAAGTTAACAAGCAAATTGCGGGTAATCGCGTTCCACATCCAATACTTTGATTCATTTCAGTTTAAACAAACATTTAGTTAAGCTATTGTTGCTAAAACAAATATTATAATATGCCTGATGATAAACGAATGTGACAAACCTGCGAGGAAAGCCTGGGCAACGTAAGTAACGGGTTGGCATCGATGAGTTCTCTCAGTGTGTGGGTTGGGATCTCCGCTGTGCTAACGGTCGCAACCGGATTAGCGCTGTCCTCCTTCAGCAGCACCATACTGTCAGCGTTCCGTTGTGCCTTGAAACGAGCGGTCACCTTCTGAGAATCGCGTGCGCTCATGTCCACAAACCTGGAAAGAAATAAGGTCTTTTGGTAAGGCTTCTGCCATGGAGTCTATATTCGTCCATCCGTCATTGTGAGTTTAAGATACAGGTACCGGCAGAATATCCACACTTCAGTTATTCCACTGAATCATAATGCTGAGTCGGATGCCTATTTCCATGATACCCTGAACAATGGAAATATATTCCACAATGAACAGAATTACAAAATGTTTGTTTGTTATTGAATTGTTGGTTTTATTATAGTAATTTAATATGAATCTTAGAGCTAAAAGCATTCCAAGATTTATTGTTGGTTTGATTTATAACTTAATATCTTTTGTAATCAGTCTATGCAGAATAACAGTGCTTATATATCTCCTGCAACTGCTAAGTCGTGAACAAATTGGTTTCAAATATGACATAAGTACTATATAAAATAAATATATTCTTAAATTCTTAACTTTATCACTATAAGGGATGTGAATGCCATTGAGGAGAATAAGTTGTATGAGAGAAAAGTCTAAATAGTCTGTACTAAAAGTATCGGGAATGGAATATTTCCACTGTTCCTGTCATATTAAAATCTTTTTAATTGAAAAGTCCTTGGTTTTAAAAATCGAATACCATTTATTTATTTAAAAAAAGATTCTCGGTCTTGTCACAAGGTTTTTGTCAAACTTGTTTAGTCGTTGAGAAAATGGAATTGACTCGAGAAAATTCAAGAGCGATGATTTATTATGACTTTCGAAGTGGTTTAACACAAAAACAGTGTATTGACCTGATGATTTCTGCATTTGGTGATGAAGCCCCATCCAAAACCACAATTTATCGCTGGTTTGCTGAATTTCAACGTGGACGTGTCAAGCTCAGTGATGATCCCCGTCAAGGGCGTCCAAAAACTGCAGTCACCCAAGAAAACGTTGATGCTGTGCGTAAGCTGATTGAGGAAGATCGACATGTGACATACCGCGAAATTCAGGCAACTTTAGACATTGGCATGAGTCAAATTCAAATAATCTTGCATGAACAATTAGGTGTAAAAAAGTTGTTTTCCCGATGGATACCGCATTCGCTCTGTGAAGAGCAGAAAGCGGCTCGCGTTACTTGGTGCGTCAGAACTCTCGAAAGATTCCACGCAGGATCCTCAAATGCTGTATACAACATCGTATCAGGTGACGAATCCTGGATATACGCGTACGAAACCGAAACAAAAAACCAGTCACGAGTTTGGGTGTTCGAAAATGAGTTAAAGTCAACAAAAATTGTTCGTTCACGGAGTGTTGCAAAAAAAATGATGGCCACGTTTGTCTCCAAAACCGGCCATGTTACGACTATTCCTCTTGAGGGACAAAGAACGGTTAATGCAGAATGGTATGCTAGCATTTGTTTGCCACAGGTCGTTTCTGAACTCCGTAAAGAGAACTGCAACCGCCGCATCATCCTCCATCACAACAATGCGAGTTCTCACACCGCACACAGAACAAAAGAGTTTTTAGAGCAAGAAAACATAGAATTATTAGACCATCCGCCGTACAGGCCCGACCTAAGCCCTAATGATTTCTATACTTTCCCTAAAATAAAGAACAAATTGCGTGGGCAGTGATTTTCATCACCTGAAGAAGCTGTGGACGCCTACAAAACGGCCATTTTGGAGACCCCAACTTCCGAATGGAATGGTTGCTTCAATGATTGGTTCCATCGTATGGGAAAATGTGTCAAATTTCGCGGAGAATACTTCGAAAAGCAATAAATACATTTTTAAATAGTAATGTTGTGTCACTTGGGGGATGAGTCGCTCGCGTCCGTAGGCTTCGACCACCTAATCCTAGGCCCACCCTACACGTGTCCCCCGGGTGGTGCTAAACGAGCGACAAAGCCGAAAGAACTGACTCGGCTCCTCGCCGTGTGGTAGCGGCGTAAAAAAAAAATACCACAACTTACTTTCGCACCATGAGGCAAAATATTAAAGAAATGGCCCCGAGTTCCCGGCGCCCCTTTAATGGGGCAGGGGTGCGAAGAATCTCCGGGAGGAAAACCGGCGACGAGGTTCGCCACCCGTCACGTTCTGTCCCCCGGAGGGGCGAAAAGTGGATTGCGGAAGCCCGTCTGGCTACATTGAACGTATGTGGAGGAATGAATGATAAGATGGATGAAGTATGCGATATGATGTATGATAGAGGAATAGACGTGTTATGTGTGAATGAGACGAAACGGAAGGGAAAGGATGCCACTACACATGGCATGTATACCGCGTACTGGTCTGGTGTAGACGAGACCGAGCGGGCATGCCAGGGAGTCGGTATCATCCTTTCAGAAAGAATGGGTCATTGTGTAAAAGAGTATGAATGTGTAAGCCCGAGACTGCTATGGATACGAATGAAAGTGGGCTTAAAGAAGTTGTTTGTTTTAGGGGTCTACGCCCCAGACATGTCTAAGCCCACTTATATCCGAGAGCAGTTTTGGGAGTTGGTAAGGATGGTGCTAATGAAATGCAAGGTTAATGAAAATATTGTGATATTAGGCGATTTTAATGGAAGGGTTGGGGTGAGGAGGCTTGGTTATGAAAGGATATTGGGAACGTTTGGTGATGAAAGTATAAATGAGAATGGTGAAAGCCTTCTCGCCGTATGCGTGGAAAAGAATCTTGTTGTGACGAACACTTTGTTTCGTCATAAGAAGATTCACACGTATACATGGGAAAGAGGTGATGATAGAAGTATGATAGATTTCATAATTGTTGATGAAAGAATGAGGAGCGCGGTGGTAGATACAAGGGTTTACCGGGGCTCTAACGTAGGGACGGATCATTACTTGGTCTTATGCCGAATTAATGGTCTTTTCAGACGTTGGAGGCATCGGACATCTGTGTCTACCACAGCGTTACAGCGTATAAAAACAGAGAGGCTACAAGATGAAGGTGTGAAAGAGAAGTTCAAATGTAGATTGAGAGAAAATATAAGTGGTATGGCTGAATTGTGTATGAATGATTTAGACTTGGAGACTGTGTGGTATAATGTCAAGAAAGGTTTAGTGGATGCAGCTACCGAAGTATGTGGTGTAAGCAAGAGAACAAATGAAAGGAAAAATAACACGTTATGGTGGGATGATGAGGTACGGATGGAAGTTGAAGCAAAGAAGAAAGCATGGCTAGATTTACTAGCAACCAAGGCTAGTAATTCTAGCAGTATGAATGATGATATTGAAAGGAAAAAGGCGGTTTTTAGACACCTAAATAAGAGAGTAAAAGAAGTAGTTGAAAGGAAAAAGCAAGAAAGAACGGATAAGAATGATAGAAGAATATCGGATAACTTCCAGGAAAACATTAAAATGTTCTGGAAACTCGTAAGAACTACCAGGGGACATTCACAACAGCCTAGAATGAATGCTATACGAGACCAGAATGGCTGTATTCTGAATGACGAAGTTTTGAGTTTAAGGAGATGGAAGGAATACTTTGAAAGCGTGTTTATGAGTGATGAGACGTTTGAATTAAATGAAATAGAAATTCCGAAAGAAGAGGAAATAGATAGAGATATAAGTATAGATGAAATAATGAAAGCAATGAAAAGTATGAAAGTAGGTAAGGCAGCTGGTTATGATAGAGTATCTCTCGAAATGCTAAGGGCTGGAGAAGCAGTGGTGGCAGACCTGCTGTACACCTTGTTTAATTTATGTTGGGAACTTAAGCGGGTACCGGGAGACTGGTGCAAAGCCGTGATAGTCCCAATATATAAGGGAAAAGGATCACAGCAGGACTGTAAAAACTACCGTGGTATCAGCCTTCTTAGCATTGTGGGAAAACTGTATGCTAAGGTACTAATTGAAAGAGTTATGAAAGAAACTGACGGAAAAATTTGGGATGTGCAAGCGGGATTTAGAAAGGGAATGGGATGTACGGATCAGGTCTTTTCCATGCGCATGATCGCCGAGAAGTTTTTGGCCAAAAACCAAAAAGTTTTTTGTGCGTTCATGGACTTGGAGAAGGCTTATGACAGAGTGGACAGGGATGTGTTATGGCAAACACTGAACTCATTTGGGTTGAGCGCTGGTCTGATACAGGCATTGAAGTCTCTATATAGGGACTCTAGTGCTTGTGTCAGGATCAACGGGGCCTACTCGGACTGGTTTGACATCCATAAAGGTGTCAGACAGGGCTGTGTGGCTTCCCCGTGGTTGTTCAACCTGTTTATGGACAGTTGTTTGGAAAATTTGAAAGTAGAAGAATGCGGGTTAAGAATGGGTGAGTTAACCGTCAAATGCCTTTTGTACGCCGATGATCAAGTCATACTTGCGTCGTCGGCAGCCGAGTTGCAAATGATGGTTACATTAATGAACAGGACATTAAAAGAAAAGGGAATGAAAGTGAACGCAAGTAAGACGAAAGTTATGGTTTTTGAAAGAGAAGAAAGTAAAACGATATGTGAAATAAGAATAGAAGGGGAGTTGGTAGAGCAAGTAGATGAGTTTGTATATTTGGGATGTGTGTTTAGCAGGGATGGTAGATATGATAAGAATATAGAACGACGAGTGAATGCAGGAAATAGAGTGAATGGGGCTCTACACTCTATTGTGAAAAGTCAGAATGTGTCCAAAAAGGCACGTATGGCAATTCACAATGCTGTGTTAGTACCTACTTTAATGTATGGTAGTGAAAGTTGGGTGTGGCAGAAGAAGCATGAGAGTAGAATAAATGCTGTAGAAATGCGGTCATTAAGGAGTATGTTAGGGATGAAGCTGAATGACAGAGTGAGAAATTGTTTAATAAGAGAAGAGTGTGGTTTGCAAGATGATGTTGTGACCAGGATTAAGAAAGGAATGCTTCGGTGGTTTGGCCATGTGGAAAGAATGAATGAGGAAAGAGTGACAAAGCAAATTTATGTTGCAGAGGTGAACGGCATAGTCGGGAAGGGTCGCCCTAGGCGAAAGTTTATCGACCAAATTGGCGATATATTAAAAATGGGCCAAATCAAGAGTACCTTTAACCGACGAGCGTGTATGCGTAGGTATATGGATGTGGAGGAAGCGA